GCCCAATTTCTTTGAAGATGATTTTCTGACGATCAGCTATTTTTATGAATGCATCATTTTCATAGATCACGCCCCATATCATTAATGAATATCCTACAACGTATAATACATTACAAGAATGTCTTTTTCTAAATCATCAAATACAATCATCAATGATATAAAAACGTATAAACAATTGTTTAAATTACAAGAACGTCTTTCTAAATCGTCAATGACATAACGAGGTACTGTATAAACAAATCATGACAAAATGTTATTGGACAATACTATGTAATCACGTGAATTCGACTTATCGAGTATCGAGTTTCACTATTACTATGTAACCTTTTTTCTGTCTGTAAAATCAAACCTAAATTTAATCAGTGGTTCATTCAATGTTATCTAGAATGAAAAAGGTTTAGATTTGATAGTTTAGAAAGAGATTGAATTTACTTTTAACTTCAATTTTATGGGTTTTCTCGTATGAGAAAGTTTTCTCTTGGGCTTTCTTCAATTTAAGAATATTTAAAATTAAGGAATTTTAAATTTGCAAAGATCATATCTCTACATGGTACGTTGAACTGATAAACAGACGATGCGATGTTCATACGAATATCAGAAATCGTAAAAGGTTTTTTTCATCGATATCATCATTATCGTAAGCAATAAATACATATAAATTTTTTAATTTGTATAAAATAACCACTATTACATACATCATCGGTTCTTCTCAGCAACCTTATTCTAAAGATTAATGTCAATATAGGGGCAAAGCCCCCTCATAAATTCATATCTAGTTACAACTACAATATTGCTACGGAATCGAAGGGGAATATTTAATTTCTAATTTAAAACAGGGCAGGCTTCAATTTAGTGTTTTGACTAGTCGGGGTATCTCGTCACTTCTAATTAACTTTTATAACTGCATATTAACCGTCTGTAATTTGTAGCTGAGTTTGAAGTCAAGTGTAACATTTTCAATGTCTTAACTCTGGTCGTGAAATTAGGACTAAAATGACTGGAATTACTCTAGATTAAATCCCTATATGTGCATGCTTGTAACGAAGAAATTTGGGGGGCTGTTGTGCGAGTTGAATTTTTGGAGGAATATTTTACGATGTAAATCATGTTAATAATAAAATTGTTTAATTAAATTTTATTCATCACGATAAACCAGTCGTCTCGATAAGCCGGCCATCAGAGCCAGCTCCTTTTGGCCGGCTTATCAATGCTGACTGTGTATAGAAAGATTAAGATTAATAAGCAATATAAAATTTTTAATGGTTGGATATAAAATTTTATCACTGAAATTGGAGTCTCATTTTGTTTTTAATTTTTTGTCATAATAAAAATCCGTCAGATACAAGTTGACATTAGCAAAAAATCTTAAGAACAAGAGCTTCCAATGGTATAAGTTTATTAAATATAATTGTGAAAAAAGAAAATTTCAAAATAGTTTTGAGTACAAACTTTTTGTCAGGCAATAATAGCGGCCATATTATAATCGGATACATTCACTTCTTATTAATAACATCAAACTAAAGACATGAAAATGTGGCGGCTCTGTACATTTAAGAGAATTCGCTCTCTTTATCACGTAACTCATCGCGAGTATCAACTGCTGTATAACTAATAATTCCTAAGGTGATATAAACCTTGATCCAAAGAATCGAAGGTCCAACGATCGAACAATTTACCAAACTTGAGCAAAACCCAATGATCCAAATTGGTCTATTAAATTTTCCAAAATCTAGCATATAAAGTGAGAATATATCATCATCCTTATGGTCATCCTCTGGATTTTCTCTTATTATTTTTACGAATATAACAATCGCAAGTGCAAACGCTATGATAATGGGTATTACTATAAAAAGATAAGTCGACGAGTCGACATAACCCTTCTTCGCAGCCAGAAAAAGAAAAACTAAATCTATAACAAACGTTGAGGAACTTATGATTGTTACCACTATTCGTGGATGTATTCTGATAAAACAGCAAAGAATTTGACTAGTAGTAATGTTGGCTATGAGATAAGTAATAAAAAAGAAATCATGAGTAGTCTCGTAAGCCCTGACCCAGAACCAAATTTTTAAAGAAAGCTGCGCATAATTAAGAATAATGGCAAGAAAAGTCAACCAAGCACGACTGAAAATACTGGTATCAGTCTTATTATTTTTAGCAACCAAGATTACTGGAATGAGAACCGTGATCAGAAGATCAAAGACCGTCTCGATAATTTCATTAGCTGAACTGGTGTTTCCTTTAAAAGCATTAGCCGAGTCGGAAAATCCAAGGATAATTAATGATAAAAGCTGAATATGCTGAAAAGGAAGATTTAATCGATTCGACTGGATATGGACAAGTGAGTCGATTTGGTGTCGTTTCTGATATTGAGCAGCTTTCGAAAGCCCCGAAATGGTAACCTTTTCTCTAAAATCGTTCCTTGCAGAATAGTTATCAGCACTCGAAGACATATTCCCAATGAGGAGTTTAACGGAATAATAACTTATTGAACGAATTTTGTGAATTGAGGAGGCCAATATTTTATATGTACAAATTATCATTGAATAGTTCCAAAAGTGGATAATGCATGCATATGTACACCCCGCCCACAAAGTCTTTGGCAGGCTTTGAAATTTACTAGTAAAACATGAAATATTTTTATTCGGAAACCTCTGTAGTCTATATACTAAGTAAGTAACCATGATTTAGATATCGTTATGCTTGTACTTTTCGTAATGAATTAAAATGTTACCATTATATAGTTCTAGTTCGTTGAAGTGTTAGTGATACGAAAACATTTATTTATCTGTGTAACCTAGTACTACACTTCACCGAACTTGTGGCTTTGTATCGGCAATACAAGCAATTAGCTTCATAACAATACCTAAAACTATTGCTACTTACATAAGATATACACACTACAGTTTTCGAATGCTTTATTATCGAATTCCAAGGCTCTGCCGAAGACTTTGGTAGGGAGATGTAGTTTGAAATTTCAACCTTCTGAAGGCAAAGCCTCTTGTAAATATTTGGATGGGCTGAAGTTTATGCATGCACCTGATGAACTATTAGCGTTATTCATGCAACCTTCTGATTACAAAGCTTAATGAGACAATGCAATAAATAATTTTTCACATGAAGGTATCGGCCTTATTTGGAATTTCATTTATTACATTTTGAGCAGAGCGTTTATCCGAACCGAAACTTCAAATATCATTATCCCATTACTATCTATCGTTGAACACTAGAATCTCATCGAATATTACCCGCTTGCATCTCATTGTGGCAGAGATTTGCGTCATGCCTATACTTCTACACACAAAATATTATAGTACTTTTACCCGCCACATCATATTGAAATTTCCTTATTGAGATAAACGCTACTACTACATACACGGTTCGTTAATTCAATTTTCTATCAGCACCCATGTATATCATGTGTGCATATTATAGGAAGACCCTGCAGAAAACACAATGAAAACCCTAAGATAGTAAAAATGCCCAGTATACAGCACAGCAATGCAAATAACGATATCTCGCCCTCTTACATCCTATTCCTCAACAATTTTATCAATACCATTAATGCAGCGACGGTTTCTGTCTCCAGTATTTCAAGAGATAATATTTTTTCAATACCGTATTCTTACCGGCGACATGTGATCATGCGAGCGTCATTCGTAACAAGTGACGACTTGCGGTACACTTCCGTTTTGTTTCTCTACAACTACGTGTACACCGGCCGTCAATACATGCGCCTTCACGAATATACCTGATTTTGGTACAAATCTAACTATGCCTTGGCCTCTCGCTGCCTCTCTTAAGGTTATTGTTCGCTGAGATATATTACTTAACTCAGGAAACTCTGCCGCTTCTACTAAGGTATGTAAAGCAGGGCACTATCCAAAGTCCCTAAAGTTTATTGACGGGATGACACTTGACTTTTACTATAACAAACGTACACTTCTACTCTTCTTAAGATCACATTAGCTCTGCAAATACGCTTGATCTCTTGCTGGTATTTTCATTATCTAACTCAGAGAAATCCTATGACACATTTGATCTTTACAGAAAGCAAAGGATAACACAGGAGAGTAACCGTAAATTGTATGATTGATGAAACCATACATATAGAATCACAAGTCTTATTATTTGTTGATCATAGACTATTCGACGAACCATACTAATACATTGCGTACGTGTTCATTAAATATTTCAGCATTTAATACGCAAATCTCATTTAAACGCCTACAGTCGACCGCGTTATACCGAAATGCGTTATACCGAATTTTTGTTATACCGAAACAGGCTCTTTTTTTATATTAAATTTGATCGTTATTACGATATCTGATAGTATTCCGTTACGAAGTCCATACTAGTTGCTTTATAACGAATTTTAATCACATGATTAGGAGTTATTAATAATAATTCTGTAATTGGTTGTAACCATCAATATTTATCGTAAATCGCGCGAATATCTGTCATATTAATATTGGTTTTGTTACTAAATGTTGGGAAAAGCTGGAATTATCTCTTTTAAAGATAAAGAATTACAGTCGAACCTCGTTATACCGAACCCCGTTATACCGAAGGACTAAGTAAAAACCCGCTATACCGAAGGTAAGGACAGAAATGTCTATAGCAAATTTAAACCCGTTATACCGAATTTATTAATTGAACCTTGTTATACCGAATTTCTTGGAATTTTTGCCTTATGTTCCCGACCTCTTCGTTATAACGGGGTTCGACTGTATTTGACAATAGCATAGTAGACGATGTTGTTATTCAGAATTTAATTGACAGATCATCAATTGATTCCGCAAAAATATATATTTAGTTACAGATGAAGAAATTATTTCTTTAATTTCTCATACACAATAAGAGAACGATGAGGAAAATGACTAGTCATGTTTTCCCACTGCTTGACTACAGATGCTGTAACTGCACTGAAACAGCGTTCAATTTTCTTCAATAAGGTAATATAGAGATAGATTACAATGGGCTGAAAAAAGTCTTTTGTTCATTGAACAGGAAGGTGGGGTTACAAGTACGTGTATTAGTATATCAAGCCAAAAGCAATCTAGAATAGATTCATTTTTAGTAATTAGTTCGACTTGTTCTTCTTCCTGCACATTGGTGTTTATTTTGCTGTTTAATAAAACATTGTTTATTGAAAAACTTTAGTACAACAAATATTACTTGACTTTAGACTAAACTTCGTTACAATGAGAGTACCTCGTTTTACCGTATTTCTTGTTATAACGAATCATAAACGTCTACTCCCCGGCGGTTTCAGTATAACAAGGGTTGACTGTACATTATTACAGTACATATATAAGTCATGCCGCACTTACTCCAATATGAGAATGGCACTTTCTTAGGGTAAATAATAATAAGGGTTTTCAGAACAATTCCATGTATTGAGTACAGCATAGATTGATCATTACTTGTAAATATAAATAATCAAACTTATCAGTTGATACATGCCTCTGAGATTCTATAGTGGAATTACACTTAGTAAAAGTAGCAGTAGCAGAGTTTTCTGAGTTAAGTAATATTTCAATAAAACAGATGGCTGAAGGTGGCATCAATGAGGTAAATCTTAATTTCCTAATGACATTATCTTTCCAACCTCATGATTAGTATGATTTTAATTGTACAATTTAGACCTTATTATTATGAGAATTTATATGGATCAGCAGACCTATTACTATTGAATAATGCATAAGAACTGATTTATTAATGGTGCAATATGAATATGTTTGCTCTGAATAACTAGTTATTAATAATATGCTCAATTATCTTAAGCTTGCTTTGTGCCCCAGCATATCCTTGTTCAGCTGCTTTCTGATACAGCTCAACTGCCTTCTGTATATTCTTTTCCACTCCTGTCCCATACTCATAATAAGAACCAAGATTACATTGTGCCCCAGCATATCCTTGTTCAGCTGCTTTCTGATACAACTCAACTGCTTTTTGAGTATTCTTTTCCACTCCTTTCCCATACTTATAACAAATGCCAAGATTATTCTGTGCCCTGGCATTTCCTTGTTCAGCTGCTTTCTGATACAGCTCAACTGCTTTTTGAATATTCTTTTCCACTCCTTTCCCATACTTATAACAAATGCCAAGATTATTCTGTGCCCTGGCATATCCTTGTTCAGCTGCTTTCTGATACAGCTCAACTATTCTTTTCCACTCCTGTCCCACACTCATAACAAAAACCAAGATTACATTGTGCTGTAGCATCTCCTTGTTCAGCTGCTTTCTGATACAGATCAACTGCTTTTTGAATATTCTTTTCCACTCCTGTCCCATGCTTATAACAAACACCAAGATTATTCTGTGCCGCAGCATATCCTTGTTCAGATGCTTTCTGATACAGATCAACTGCTTTTTGAATATTCTTTTCCACTCTTGTCCCATACTCATAACAAACACCAAGATTATTCTGTGCCGCAGCATATCCTTGTTCAGCTGCTTTCTGATACAGCTCAACTGCTTTTTGAATATTCTTTTCCACTCCTGTCCCATGCTCATAACAAACACCAAGACAATGTTGTGCTGTAGCATTGCCTGCCTTTGCTGATTGTTGATACCATTGAACAGCTTGTCCAAAATCTGCATCTGTTTCTATTCCATATGCATAGAAGAATCCAATCAACCAAAAACATTGTCCACAGTTAGTATGAGCCTTTAATGTAACCAATGAATTTTCTTGTTTATCATTATTTTGTGTCAGCCAATTTTTTATGTAATCAACTATTTGTTCCATTGATTTCCCCTTAAATAGTAACTTGTTGTATAATACTAACAACTCATTAGAAAGAGAGTGGTCTTGAATCTTGTTGTTTTGGCTAGAATCACATTCTGGTAGCTGGTTCAATTCTTCCATTATATTTTTTAATCTATGGTAACATTGTTCACTGGTTGGCCGTTTTTTTGAATCATCATCCCAGCATTCTGTATATAAATTTTTATACTCCTCTGGTGTGCCTGAAGCTACATCATGGCGGCCACCATTCAGCCTATATACCAGAATGTCTGATATGCTGTTGAATTCACTACATGGATATTCTCTACTAGATATCTCCCATAGAACAATTCCAAGGCTAAAAATATCAGATTTTTCATCTCGTTTACTATTATTGCCATTAAAGCATTTAGGATCAAGATATGCATAAGTTCCCCTGTGATCTGAGCAAGTCTTTTGCAGTAGTAATTTTTCAGATGTCCCAAAATCCGCGATCTTAGCTGTTTTTCCATGAATTAATACATTGTTCGAAGACTTGTAATAACATTTGAAAGCAATATGTCAATATACAGTTTACGCTAATAAAACGTTGTGTTAATGAATAATACACTTACTAAATCTTTATGCAAGATTCCTACTGTATGAATATATCTCAGGCCGTTAACGATATCCAAACCCAGTTGACAGTTGGCAGGCCAATCTAGTTTAATAGCTGGCACC